CCTTCCAACCCTAACCATTCTATGATTCTCTGATGCTACTCCCTGTCCCATCTGCAACAGGGAGCTGGGTTAAGAGGATGGGGTTAAGAGGAATGGGGGCTCACGTCTGGGGGTGCCATCCTGCTTTGTGAAAAACCTCCCTGAGAAATATCCTCGGGCAGTGCTCAGCATGTCCCTGCCCACCCTGCCCAGTGCTCACCCGATTCCCTTTGGAAATCTTGCTGAAGTGGGCATTTAATACCCTGCGTTGCCTTGGTGTGGCAGAGTTTTGGGTAAGAAATCACCCACTGAAGGGCCGGTGCAGCCACTTCATCCCTGAGGGGAATACCCCAAGGGATCGGCCACAGCCCCTGGAGCTGGGACCCCCCCCGCTTGCCCTGGGGGTCTCTCCCAGGAGAGGGGTTCCCCAGCAGCCCCCACAGGTACAGAAAGTGAACTCGGGCTCCTGCTGCAGCTTTCCCTGTTCCAAGGGCTTATTTGTGCTGCCGTGACTTTGCCGCCCAGCCGACTCCACCAGGCTTCTTGTTTCCCAGGTGCTTGAAGGGATTTATTACTTTTTTATGCCTTTTGCAAGGCGTTTACCAAACTCTTTTGGCCGACCTTTTGGAGCTTTACCTTTAACCTGGCAGCATTTACCACCCGTTCTGGTTTTCCCATTTGGACACAGCTTTGGCTTTTTAGATGAATGTCTTCTGGCTTTTAATAGCCTCCCATCCCCTGCTGTCCAGCCTTGCTTTCCTCCCTCTTCCCTTTGCAGTATCCTCCGGCCAGGCACCCTGCATTTGCTCTGATGTCCCAGTGGGGTCTCTCTAAAATAGCCTCAGTGCCTCCCACGAATGTTTTACCCTCTTTGTTACCCCTTTTGGTTTCTTCGTAAAAAAGCTTCTCGCTTTTGATGTAGTTCCCTTTCTGAAACGAAACACTTCTGCAATGGGTATGTTGGCTTTCATTGCTCCTTTTTTTTCATATCATTTCATATCCTCTAGGAGGATAAAGTGCTCCTGGGAGGGATTAGGAGAGGGTCTGGGGTCCCACAGCCCCTCTGGGGATGCACCCGAGCAGCAGCTGCTGTCAGGTCCCGCTGTCCCAGAATCACAGAATCTTCTAGGTTGGAAGGGACCTTAAAGATGTGGACCTTAAAGATACAGGATGTCCCCCTGTACCTGCCCCTGGAGCAGCGAGGGCTGGGACACCCCATTCTCAC